TAAAGAGGAGGATCAAATTGACTAAAGTGTGGGACTTACGACCTCACCCTATAGACAAGGCGACCTATTACCCGCACAATATTCAAACAGACAAACTTGAATATTTAGAGCCATGTTAAAGTAAATGTGTGCATTTTAATTTTATTAATTGGAATTGATTTTAAATTGCTTTACATGTGTTTTGAGACATTTGGTTTTGAGCTTAAGCGCACATTTTAACTCGAGCAGTGTTCTCAGACATTGAGATTGAGTATTTAGCACATTGATCGGAGCACATACTGATAATTTATATTTGTTGGGTTGGGATCTTTAAATAGTTTTGCATGCATTTCTAGAAAAATTAATTTGGACTTAAACATTTGTTTAACCCACACAACATTTTCGAATCTTGTGATTAAACAATTAGCACATTGGTCGGAGCACATGCATGAATTTTATATTTGTTGTTGACCGACTTTTATGGGATTTGTAAGGTTATTAGCACGTGCATATTATCATTAAAATGCATGCAAATTTTTTTATTTTAAACTTTTTACATTGTCTTCTGTCTTCTTGTGCCTTTTTGGTTGCAGATCCGATGATGATTAAGATATTCTAGACTTTGATTACATATTAGGAATTATGTATCTCTCTCGTGTTTTGTTCTCATTTGAGTGTTCAGGTGACCTCCTACATGTTTTATTCAAGTTCCTAGATGAGTCTTCAAGTCCTCTATGGACCTTATGCAAGTTTCTCTCTCATGCTTAGGTCCTATTTGAGAGATGAAGTTAACCCCCTAAAAGTTTCAATCAAGCTGGTTGTTGAGTCGTTGAGTTCCGTGTGGATCTTATGCAGATTCTATTTATATTGGTTTTGTTCTTTGAAGATGATTTACATAAAAATTTTAATCCTTAATATCTAATTGATGACCCCTCATTTTGATTGCATTTTAGTTAAAATGATTTCAATTGGATTACTCATTGTAAGCGGCATTTAGACAAAAATCCGACAGCATTTCGGCAGCCTCTCGGTGTAGTTGTCTGTTGGGGGCTGCATCGGGGAGCTAAAACCTTCCTGCCACGCTTAAAAATGTGTGCATAGTTAGTATCATTCAACACTGTGGTTTGGACACTGGTTTGGGGGTCTTCATAACATACCACGCTTAAAAAACCGTGCATGGAGCTTATTGTACCTGCACAAAAAAGAAGCTACACACACGTAGCCATTCCCGCTGCATCGATACGACACAGGCGGGTCTTTGTCCCACCACGCTTGAAAAAGCATGCATGGGGCTTGAAGTACCTGTAAATGAAACACATAAAATATAGAATCTACTAATGTATACACAATTTTTTTTCTTCAAATGTGTTCTTGGCATCCACCATTTTCTTAGTCTCCCTCATTTTTAAATTTATATTGCTGCTTTTCTAATCATCTTCTTGATCTCCTCCTTGCTCAAATCTCCATTTGTTTCTTCCAGCTGGTTGGTCTATCCTCAGCTCCACAGACCTTGATCAAGACATTAGGCTGACTTTCTTGGTAGGTTTAGAAGATCAGCCCCTTTTGGGCAGGGATGGTGGTGCTCCCCAAAGGTTGCCATTTGGTTATATTTTAGTTGAAATCATATGTTAAAACTATTATAATCGTTTTATCATCATCAGCCTTCTAATAATGCTATCATATTTCGGAGAGAAAATGATCCGTATGTACGGATTGGGGAAGTATACCCCTAGGACACCGTAATTATACCTAAAATACATTCCAAGTACACCCTGAGTACACCCATCTATAAGTACAGATAGAATTTATGTCTCAGAGATAGAATTATCATCAATCAATATGTTAAATATATGTTCAAATCTAAAGTAATAACAATGCCTCCGGATAAATGGACAAACAAATTCTATTGACAACGATACTGCCACCTTTAACTATTCCATCTTGGTTACAAAGTCCTAACTTGCACATGGCTAGTGTTCTTTCTTGTCCTTCTCAATTATTTTGATCATCTATGCTTGCTAGGTTTCACATTTAATGATATCAAGAGATCACATGGCATGGAGATCACATTACCTTTATAATGGAAGTTTTACAATCTCATTTCATGTCTTTCACCATCAGCGAATTTATTTGATTGTAATTAAGCCCGGCTCGAGCCATCCTTGATTTGATTTTAGGTTTGATTAATCAATCGAGTTTAAGCTTAATTTTTTTCATATGTTTATATCGGCTCATTTATATTATTTTAACATCCTTGATTTGATTTTAGGTTTGATTAATCAATCTAGTTTAAGCTTATTTTTTTTCATATGTTAATATCGGCTCATTTATATTATTTTAATCACGTTAGATTGCTATAAATTTATATATTTTTATTTTATGTTTAAAAGAATAAATCAATTTATTTTGAAAAATACTAGCTACTAATCAATTAATATTTTATTTTAAATTAAAAATAAATAAATAAAAATGATGCCAAAACCCCCTTGGGAGTTAAGAAGTCAAATTAATGACGGATCAGATGAACAGTGGTTGAAGAACTTTGCTAAAATATAAAATACTGTTGTGGATGATCAGCAGCACATGGTGGGGACGCTACGAAGAAAAAACTCTCGTCGCCTCTGATGTTGAAATAGTTACATTTGGTAGAATTTTGAATCTTGATTTGTAGAAACAAACAGAATAATTTAAGAGGTTGTTTGGTTGAAAGAATTTCTAGTGTGTTGCAATGCTTTTGTATACTAGAAATACAATATAAAAAAGGAATGTATTTGAAATTAACACCTTAGTTTATTTTGATTGAATTTTGAATCCTGTTTATTTGATTGAATTTGAGATTTACATCGTTCATTATTGCAAAATGTATTGGCTGGCCGGTCCCCCGCCACTGCAAGTCGCCGCTTTCTGCCATATGTCAACTCCCACGACCGGCGACCCGCGGCCTGCGGATGGGTGATGATGAAATAGCTAAATTTAGTAGAACTTTGAATGTTGATTTGTAGCATTTGAAAGCAAACAGAAGAATTACGTGTGAAAAGTTGATTTTTTCTCAAATTTATATTATGAAATTATAAACTCATAACCAACTTAGACTCTATGCAGAGCCACATGATAGAGGTGGAAGAATTGAAGCATGGTAGTACCGGAATCTCCGGGCTAATTGCCATACATGTCGGTGCCTTTTACCTTAATTAGTTGCAACTATTTGTGCTTTTCTTTGTAATTTATAAGAAACCATGTGAACAAGATTAAAATTTTGGTGAAAAATGTTCACACTAAGTATTTGACGCATGGGTTATGCCAACTTTGATTAATTGTTGGAGTAGGTAAGACTATTTCTATAAGCGTTATTAGTTAAAAAATAGAGATAATTTAGTGGGAAACACAAGGAGAGAAAAAGAAAAGAAATTCAAAGTATGATTATCTATGACTAACAATGTGTTTGGGACAACAGTATGATCATGGTGTGGTGTCACATTGTACTTTGTGTTATTTGACAAAATTATGTTTTGTTAGTTTTTTTCTTAAAAGACGTTACATTGGGAAGCTATTTTTTGCAATTTGATCCGACTAAGTGTTCTGACAACCAGAAAGTTACGATATAATATTTTGAAAATATATGCAACAGTTATGAAGTTGTTTCTTCAAATAACAATAACTGTCTCAAACAGATCCTAAATATAAGTAATGCATTTTAATTCATAATAAACAAAATTTTGATTGTCCATTTGCGATTGAACTCTATATGATTTACACTTCACATTCATTTTTTTTGTGCTTCTTATCATGGTTCGCTTGAGATCTCAGACACGTTCGTTTCATTCAGCTTAGTATAATCTCCGTAGACAACACTATTTAGTGTTGAAAATTAAAAGCTAATTTAATTCTCATAGAGTGTCTAACAAAGAGATTATTTCAATTATTTAAACTTGACTTTTAAAGTATAATAATGACCGACCTACTCTGTTGAAGCACAGTGCTATAAAGAACTATTTGTTCTAATCAAACAATAATCATCAAGAAATTTGAATGTATCAGCTGCTTTTTCATGATACCTTTTTTCTTTCCTACCTAAACACGAGAAAAATTTACGTTCGGTATCATATCATGTTGTTGAATGCATGACGTGCTGCACGCACTATCATTTGCACATCTGATTCACCGGAAATACTATTTTCTCGCTAAACACAACTATTCTAACCGTAAAAGCATGCCGTTAAAAGTAGAAAAATTAGTTTTATGACAAACAGAGCTCACCATCTCAATTCGAAGCATTTATCATGAATAAATAAATAAATAGAATTAGTTGATGAATTAAATGGTGAGATCTGCGCTGTCCCTTGAACGGGAAAGGCTACACAGAAAAAGGCTTCCACCACGTGAAGAAACAGAGCAAGAGAAAGGGAAAGGAAAGAGGCTTTGAAAATTGATCAATAATTAGTTATGGCATTTTATAGAGTGGAGAAAAGTATATTACATTTCAGGAAAATGAATGTCAAATTCACGTTTCTCAATATTCCCATTTTCCTTATTTATTTATTTATCTGATGAGCTTTTTATATGGGTTATTGGAGGGATTTAATCTGATTATTTCTTCTGTTGGTTTTGCAGTTATTTTAGAGTTGGAGCTCATTCGAATAAAAATAATAGCCATCAAATCCCTCTAAAATATTATTCTGCAGTTATTGTTACATTCAAAATGATAAATAATATCATATTTTATTTTATTTTATTTATTTTATTTACTATTTTTATGGTAGTATAAACAGACTATAAAAATCATTACCAGTTTGAATGAAAGATAATCCAATATCTAAATTAAATTCACTTGAAAAAGGAATTAAAATGCATATTATCAAAACAAAAATCATCTAAAATAATTTACAAAAAAAAAAAAAACTTTCAAGGCTTTCTCCTTCCCCCTTTCTTACCCACCACTTTGACTCAAAGAGTTCTTTCAACTAATCTATTAGAAAAGCAAGACAAACTGAACTGTATGGTTCCACCTTCCAAGCCTATTTATATCCCCCTTTCCCCTCCCCTCTTCTCCTCACAAACATTCTCTCCTTATCCCTTCCTCCCACCCACTTTCTTCTTCCTCACATAGAAACATGGCCATTAATTTGCTTTTCATGATGAGCATTCTCCTCTTCTCTACTCCAATATGTTTCGCGCAAGGAGGAGGTTGGACCGCCGCTCATGCCACCTTCTATGGAGGAAGTGATGCGTCCGGCACTATGGGTATAGAGATATAGTTATATACATAGTAAAATACAGTACATTCATATGGTCAAAATGAGCCTATATGTTTCTCTTTTTGTAGGTGGAGCTTGTGGGTATGGGAATTTGTACAGCCAAGGATATGGGACTAACACTGCTGCTCTGAGCACTGCTCTCTTCAACAATGGGCAGAGTTGTGGGGCTTGTTATGAGATAACGTGTGTTGCAGACAGGCAATGGTGCCTTCCAGGCTCCATTGTTGTAACTGCAACAAATTTCTGCCCCCCAAATAATGCGCTTCCGAACAATAATGGGGGATGGTGTAATCCTCCTCTGCAGCATTTTGATCTCTCTCAGCCTATTTTTCAGCGCATTGCTCTCTACAGGGCTGGGATTGTTCCCGTTTCTTACAGAAGGTGAGTCTATCATTAAATCACTATAATTATGTAATATCCTCTCATAACGATAAATTATTGTATTAGGACACCTGATAAAAATTTGCATTATGTGTTCAATAACCGGGGTCACGTGGTAATTTGGGTCTGGTGACATACACGATTCGGGCTCAGGTTGCCATCTGGCACCCTGTTATTTGACAGTGATACAATAAGTTTTCCTCATAACTGAGGAGGAAATATTACTTGTGGTCATGGTACGGGTTATGGGTGTATGTGCTTTTAAGTAAACACTTTTGAAGGTAATATTTTTTTCATTATAGGAGAGGAGAGAAGATATAACTTAAAGTAAATATGAATGTATTTACATATACAGTGATTATAACAATTTTTTTTTTTAAGATTGGGCCGATTTGATTCATTCTTTTTTTGATGACATTTTTTTTGGGGGAATTCACATACTTTATACATGTTACCCAATTCTTACACATTTACATATCTAACACCTAAACTTTACCTTTTTATATTTCTGTCACTCTAATCTTTTAACACATCAAAAGTAGTGTAAAGGGTCATTAGTTATAACTGTTTTGATCGTCGCCAAGCTAAAAGGACATGTCTAACAATTTAACAAAATAAATGAAAAATTCAAAACAACATATCTTATATCATTAGCCGAATTTAGCACAAGATATCTACTTCTAACTTATGCTCTTTATATATTACATGACATACTAAAACTCTTAGAAGGCTTTTCAAGTTTCAACTGTTGTTGTTTTTGTGTGACATAGAGTTCCATGCAAAAGAAAGGGAGGGATAAGGTTCACAGTTAACGGTCACTCCTACTTCAATCTAGTTCTCATCACCAATGTCGCCGGTGCTGGCGACGTACAAGCCGTCTCAATAAAGGGATCAAGAACAGGATGGCAACCTATGTCCAGAAACTGGGGCCAAAACTGGCAGAGCAATTCTTACCTCGATGGCCAGTCTCTCTCATTCAGAGTCACCACCAGTGATGGCCGCTCAGTTCTTTCCTACAATGTTGCTCCTCCCAATTGGTCATTCGGCCAAACCTTCTCTGGATCTCAGTTCTTCTGATCACCACTCTACTCCCTCCCTCCCTCTCTCTCTCTCTCTCTTGATATATAT